AAAATTAATAAAATATAATTATAGAAAAAAAAAATCTGGGTTCTGCTCCAAAAGAAAAATCTTTCCTTATAAGGTATAACCATGAACCTGCCCTGTGCAAACTGTGGTTCAAATTTATACATCTGTGTGCTCTGGATAAAGTGAGAAGCAACAAGAAGCACAGAGGAAAGCCAGGTTAAATGTGATATATCTAGAAGGCAGAAAAGGGTAAATATACCGTAATGATGATGTGATTAGTGGTTCTGAACTATGTGGAAAACCTAAGAAAGATGAGGGCAAACTGTCTTTTGTTAGGTACCAAGAACTCTATGTAGAACAAAAGAAAATTCTGCTAGATCCTTTGACATCCTCACAATCTCTAGGCTGTGTTTAATTAAAATGACATTGCCAACATTGTGTCAATTTTGTTTCAAGTCTTCCTTTGTTTTGCTGACCTTCTACTTTTCCAAGCATGAAATCTTTTTCCAGAAATTGTTCCCTCCTGATAACATGCCTAAAGTATATGAGATGAAATGTAACCATCATTGCTTCTAAGGAACACTCTGGGTGCAATTCTTCAAAGATGGATTTGTTTGTTCTTCTGATAGTCCATGATATATTCAATACTTTTTACCAATACCACAATTCAAAGTCATTAACTCTTGTGCAGTCTTCCTTATTCACTGCTCAACTTTCACATGCATACGAAGCAACTGAAAATAAAATGACTTCAATCAAGTGTGCCTTAGTCTTTAAAGTGACATCCTTGTTATTTAGCACTTTAAAGAGATCCTTAGCAGCAGATTTCCCTAATACAAAATGTTTTTGATTTCTTGACTGTTGCTACCACAGGTGTTGATTGTGGATTCACCCTTCTTTTTCCATTTATCATGATGTTGCTTATTGGTCCAGTGGAGAAAATTTTTGTTTACTTTAGGGTGAGGTGCAATCCATACTGAAGGCTATATAGTCTTTTATTTTATTTCTGCAGTAAGTGCCTTTTCACGTTCAGCAAACAAGACTAATTCATATCATCAGCACAGCACAGGTTGTGATGAGTCTTCCTTCAATTCTGATGGTACATTCATCTTTATCTAGTCCAGTTTCTCAAATGATCTGCTCATCATACTTACTGAATCCGCACGAAGAAAGGATACATTTTTTTAATTTTTATTTTTTATTATTAAATTTTATTAATTTTAATGAACATTTACAGGGATTTTGGGTTTTTATTCATTCATTGTTGCACTAGAAAGGATACAATTCTAATGCACATCCTTCATGTGTTTAAACCATGAAGTACTATTTCCTTGGTCTGTTTGGACCACCACTTTGTGGTCTAGATATAGGAGGCAGACAAGAAATCAAAGGGTATGATCTCCTTTGGTGCTGTCTAAGGAGGTGGCGGTCAGTTCCTGCTGGTGTAATGACTACCCTCAAATCCCTGGTTAAGCCAAAGATTGTCAAAAAGACAACCAAGAAGTTCACCAGTCAGACCATTATGTTAAAATTAAGGGTAATTGGCTCAAGTCCAGAGACATAGTCAACAGGATTCAGAGAAGATTTAAGAGCCAGATCTTGATGCCCAACTTTGGTTACAGGAGCAACAAGAAGACAAAGTATGCTGTCCAGTGGCTTCTGCAAATTCCTACTCCACATGTCAAGAAGCTGGAAATGGTACTGATGTGCAACAAATTTTACTGTACTGAGATTGTTCAGAATGTTTCCTCCAACAACCACAAAGCTATCATGGAAAGAGCAGCCCAGCTGGCCATTAGAGTCACCAATCTCAATGCCAGACTGTGCAGCAAAGGAAATGAAAAGAAAGCTTGCTTGCACATTTAATTTGTGCTAAAAAGCCGTAAAAGCTGCAAAAAAAACCCCCCAAAAATAAAATTATATATTCTATGGGGAAAACATGCTGTAAAAATATCTTTAAAATGTTTTAAGAACAAAAGATTCCACTCTGAGAACTAAGGTGAACCTGATTCAAGTTATGAGATATATGAAATTGCATAAAATCTATATGAAATTTAGACAACCAATCATGAAGACTGTGATGGAATATGGTGTTGGTAAAGAACAATGACTATACCATGGAATGTCTGAAGATCAAACAAATCTGTCCTGGAAGAAATACAGCCTGAATATTCCCTGAGAAAGCAAGGATGATGAAACGTCATCTCACATACTTTGTACAAGTTATAAGAAGGGACTTAAAGAAGGACATTATGTCTGTGGTAAGGAGGAGGGTTAGCAAAGACGACAGAAAAGAAATGAACTGAAATAGTGGCTGCAACTGAGGACTCAAACACGGCAGTGACAGTGAGGATGGTGCAGGATCAAACAGTGTTTTCTGTTACAAACTGAGAAACAAATTGAAAGCATCTAAAAAGAAAAAACATAACAAACAACAGCAGAGTATACATTCTTCTCAAGGGCACAGAGCACATTTCTAAGATAGACTATTCTGACCCTCAAAGAACTTTCAATAAATTTAAGATGTATCAAATCAAGCTAAGTGTGCTCTCTGATCTAGAAAATTAAGTTAGAATATTAAAAAACAGATAGAGGTGAAAGATATGAAAGGAAATACATAAGATTGCATTAATAATGTCGTTGTTGTTATGTGCCGTTGAGTCACTTGCAACTCATAACAACCCTATGTACAACAGCCCTAAACTCTGCTCTATCCTGTGCCAATCACACTGCCTCTGACACTCCCATCCTGATTACCCCAGTCACTAAATCAATCCACCTCACTGAGGGCCTTCCTCTCCTGCGCTGTCCCTCCACCCTACCAAGCATGATGTCCTTCTCCAAGGACCGCTCACTCCTTACAACATGTCCAAAGTATGTTAGACAGAGCCACAGAATCCTTGCCTCCAAGGAGCAGCCTGGTTTAACCCTTTCCAGGATGAATCTGTTTGTTTTCCTAGCAGTCCATGGTACTCTCAATACTCTTCTACAGAACCACAGCTCAAAGGCATCAATTCTCCTTCTATTCTCCTTAGTCATTGTCCCAACCCTCTGATGCATAACAAGTGATAGCAAAGACCATGGCCTGTATCAGACGCACCTTAGTCTCCAGAGAGACTTGATTGCTCTTCAGTACTTTGGAGAGGTCCCTAACAGCAGACTTTCCCATG